CCATCCCTCACCCCTCCTCCCCCCAACCGCCTCCCCTGCTGCTTTTCTCTGGTTAAAAGGAGTCAGAAGGCACCCACCTGGAGAAGCCTGCAGTACCTTCGCCTATGCTCAGGCCTGGGCTGAACCACAAGAGCTCTTGACGAGATAAATACCCAGCCCTCCCTGACCTCTGCCCTTGTCCCGGGCCCTGCTTTATTTCCTGCTCTCCATGCAAACACTGGTCCCCCCCGGATTTGCATCCCAGAGGCCAGACACGCACAGGAGCCGCCAGGGCTCCCAACTTTGAATGAGACCACAATGAGGCTTCTCCACCACCATCACCTACGCACCTTCTTCCCACATAGGGTTCAACTCAACCACATGTATCAGGTGCTTACTGTGGGCCAGGCACCGTGCCAGGACCAGATCATGACTTGGCTCTCGGAACTCACACCCTAGTGTGGAAAGAAAGAAACAGGAACAGATGATCTGAATGCTCCAATAATGCAAATGCAGTTCAGGAGAACAAGGAAGGTGGGAGAGGGTTAGGGGACACCTAGCCCCTCCTGGTCAGCCCTGGGGGATTGGAAAACACTCCCTGCAGGAGTGAGGCTCAGAGGAGTTAGGAAAGGATGAGTCAGGGGACAGATGCCTGAGCAAGAAGAGGGCACCAGGAGAGGAAGGCAGTGAGCAACACCTTGGGCTGGCCACATCAGGGAGTGGGGAAGTGCCCACAATTAGAATGGCACACGTGGTGGGTGAACCTGGCTTAGGGCAAAGATTTTCTTATTGGTAGAATACAGGAGGGGCTGACAGTGCAGATCTATAGCCAGACCAAGGGAGTGACATTTTTTCTTTCTCTCTCTTTTTTTTTTTTTTTTTTGAGTTAGAGTCTCACTCTGTCGCCCAGGCTGGAGGGCAGTGGCACTCTCACGGCCTCTGCAGCCTCGACCTGCTGGGCTCTGGTGATCCTTCCGCCTCAGCCTTCCAAGTAGCTGGAACCACAGGCGCGTGCTACCATACCTGACTAATTTCTTGATTTATTGTAGAGACGAGATCTCACCAAGTTGCCCAGGCTGGTCTCACACCCCTGGACTCAGGGAATCTTCTCACCTCGGTCTCCCAAAGTGCTGGGATTACGGGTTTGAGCCACTGCGCCTGGATTTCTAGTGGAATTATAGATGAGTTTTATTCTTTTTTGCTTGTCCATAAGTTGAGTGAACATATACTTCTTATTCATAAGAAAGGGTGTTATATATTTTTTCTTTTTCCCTTGCAAAGCCTGTGATATAGAAGTCAGGGTGGTATAATTTATTAAAACAAAATAGCACCTGCAGTGTGTTTATTTCGTTTACCAGACTATTCGTGAGTACACACACACACACACACACACACACACACACACCACACGTGTGCACACACACATATACAATAGTCCCCCTCAGCCATGGTTTCAGTTACCTGAAGTTAACCATGGTCTGAAAATACGAGAGGGGATGGCAAAAAAAACCTGGAATTGATTTATAAAAAATTGTGTATTTATCTTTACATGTTTAAACTTCATTCACCTTTGGTCGGGTGCAGTGGTTCATGCTATAATCCCAGCATTTCAGGAGGCCAAGGTGAGTGGATTGGCTGAGCCCACAGGTTCGAGACCAGCCTGCAACCTGGTGAGACCTCACATCTACAGTAAATTTTAAAAGTTAGCTGGACATAGTGGCACCTGCCTGTCGTTCCAGCTACTTGGAAGACAGAGGCGGAAGGATCACCTGAGCCCACGTATTGAGGCTGCAGTTGCTGTGAGTGTGCCCCTGCCCTCTAGCCTGGGCAACAGAGTGAGACTCTGACTCAAAAAAAAAAAAAAATTCAGTCAACTTCAAAGTACTCCTATTTGGTGGCAATACACCTATTGTGACGCTTTTTCCACTACTCTAAATAGTTTTTGAACTGCTCGGTTTTGATACCTTTTAGTACTTCTGCTATTTTTTGTTATTACCTCTTCCACATCGAAAAAACATTTCCCTTTGAAAAAGATGTTCTTCATCCAGGGAAACAAAAAGAGTGAAGAGATCAAATGAATAGGGAGGGTTGGGCACAGGGGTCATGCCATGTTTGGTCAAAAACTGCTGAACACTCAGCGTAGTATATGGGCAGGTGCATTGTCATGGTGGAAGAACCAGGCATCTCTTTGCCACAACTTGAGATGTTTCTTCCACAAATCATGATGCAACCTTCTCAAAAAATTAGCCAGGTGTGATGGTGCGTGCCTGTAGTTCCAGCTACTTGGAAGGCTGAGGTGGAAGGATCACCCGAACCCAGCAGGTCTTGACTGTGGTGGCCGGGAGCGTGCCGCTGCCCTCCAGCCTGGGTGACAGAGTGAGACTCCAATAAAAAAAAAAAAGTAACAACAAAAAAAAAAACTTCCAGATAAAAACTTTGGTTGACCATTTGATCTGGGAGAACAAATCCTGAGTGCACTACAAAGGGACCACCCTCCAAAAGATAATTTCAGTTTTGGGGGGGTCTCCTCTCATTTTACATGGATAATTCCAGAAATGAACCATCCCTAAGTTTTAAATTGCACGCCGTTTGTTTTGAGCAGCCTGATGAAATCTCTCGAAGTCTCACTTTGTCCCACCTGAAACATGGATCATCTCTTTGTCCAGCACCCCCACACGGTGCACCTCCCTGCCACCGGTCACTCAGTAGTCCTCTCAGTGATCACGTCCACTGTCATGGTATTGCAGTGCTTGTGTTCCAAGTAACCCTTATTTTACTTAACAATGACCCCAAAGCGCAAGAGTAATGATGGTGGCAATTAGAATATGCCAAAGAGAAGCCGCCAAGTGTTCCCTTTAAGTGAAAGGATGAAAGTTCTGGACTTAATAAAGAAAAAAAATCATCCGGGATGCTGGTCAAATCGACAGTGGGAATGGATCTTCTACCCACAAATCTGTGAGGAATGGAAAAGAAATGCATGCTAGTTTTGCCGTCTCGCTGCAAACTGCACAGTGTGTGATACATGTTTAGTTAAGATGGAAAAGGCACTAAATTTGCCAGTGGAAGACGTGAACAGAAAACTGATGGCAATCAGGTTCGGTACGATCTGCAGTTTTTTTGTTTTTGTTTTTTTTTGTTTTTGTTTTTTACTTGGAGTCTCACTCTGTCACCCAGACTGGAGTGCAGTGGCTGCTCCGGGCCACTGCAGCCTCGACCTGCTGGGCTCTGGCGATCCTTCCGCCTTAGCCTTCCAAATAGCTGAAACTACAGGCGTGCGCTACCACGCCCGGCTAATTTTTGATTTATTGTAGAGATGAGGTCTCGCCAAGTTGCCCAGGCAGGTCTCGAACCCATGGGCTCAGGCAATCCACTCACCTCGGCCTCCCAAAGCGCTGGTATTACAGGCTGAGCCACCGAGCCCAGCCTACGATCTGCAGTTTTAAGGCATCCACTGGGGGTCTTGGAAGGTGTGTCCTGAGAACAGGGCGGGGGGCTACCATACTTTTGGCCTCCAGAAGTCTTGGGAGGGGTCAGGGGGAAAGACTGCCTTGTCCAGCCCACTTCAACTCACCCTCCTAGGGACCAGGGTTCAGAGGTTCTGAGGTGACAGGAGAATCTCTGCAGTGCGGGAGGCAGCTGCCCAAGGTGCTGAGTTTTTGTGTGAAGCTGGTCTCTCAGTGAGACCCACACCAGAGAGTGCTGCTCTCCCTTCTCATCCTGAGTGAGATGGGTCCCCTAGGGTCAGGGGTCGGAAATGGAAGCCTTGGCTTCTGGGAGAGAATGGCAGAGCAGAGTTCAAAGGCACTGGTTTATGGCAACTCATAAAAACTCCAGATGGAGCCAGTGCCGGGGGG